AGTTTAAAGCCATTACCCCTTGTCCTATCACTACATGCCCTTGTAAAAAGTCCCTCTCCGGCTTTCTTGTAGGCCCCCTTTAGGTATTGGAAGGCCGTTATAAGGTCTCCCCAGAGCCTTCTCTTCTCCAGGCTGAACAACCCCAACTCTCTCAGCCTGTCTTTATATTAGAGGTGCTCCAGCCCCTTGATCATCTTCGTGGCCTCCTCTGGACCCGTCCCAACAGGTCCATGGCCGCCTTATGTTGAGGGCCTCGGAGCTGAATGCAGTACTGCAGGTGGGATCTCACCAGCACAGCATAGAGGGGCAGAATCACCTCCCTCGACCTGCTGGTCACGCTGCTGTTGATGCAGCCCAGGATATGGTTGGCCTTCTGGGCTGCAAACACACACTGCCAGGTCATGTTCAGTTTTTCTTCCACTAATACCCCCAAGTCCTTCTCCTCAGGGCTGCTCTCAATCCCTTCATCCCCCAGCCCATGCTGATACAGGGGATTGCCCCGAGGCATGTGCAGGACCTTGCACTTGGCCTTGTTGAACCTCATGAGGCTCATGAACTTCATGAGGATCCCTGCTTTTATTCCCTGGGAGTGTGTCAGTGCATGGAGACAGCGCTGTGCCTGTGCTGTGAAGGAGGCCAGCTGTGCTCTGAGGCATATGAGCAAGTGGGTAGCCAGCAGTTTGATGGAGACAGTTGTTCCCCTCTGGTCAGCACTTGTGAGACTTTGTCTGCAGTACTGAGTCCAGTCCTGGGCTCCCCTGGACAAAACACAACATCGGCATTTTGGAGCAGGACCACCAAGCTGATCTGGGGCTGGAGCACGTGATGTGTGAGGAGAGACTGAGAGCTGGACGTCTTCAGCCTTAACAGTAGGACACAACCGTGTATCACTGCAGGTAGGGGTAGAGAAGATGGAGCCAGACTCTTCTTGGAAGTGCATAATGAAAGGGCAAGTGAGACCTTTTCTTTTTACTGTGAGGATGGTCAAACATGGTAATGGGCCCAGAGAGGTTGCGGGCCAGTTCCTAGGCACTGTTTAATTTATTAGAGTAGATGTTGCATCTCCTCAAATGCAAGCAGAGAATCTCTCTTTGCTCGTGAGGTCTCTTTGTGCACTGTGCAAAAGCTAAAGCTTTATAGGAAGTATTCAGTGTTCTGCTGAATGACAACTGTCCCAAATGCTTGTTCCAGGGAAAGCATGCACGTCTGAAACAGACCTTGGTGGGTACAGAAACAAGCAAAGATGTCTGTACATGTGACCATGTACCACACACTTTATTTATGTCTGCACAAAAGCAGGCAGGCACGGGCACACACAGATAAGTCTTTGGGTTTGCTGTGTTGAAGAAAAGCCTGCTCAATAAGGTGGTCTAACTCACATTCATCCTGCTTCAGGTTGGGGCAAAACAGCTCCTGCAGGCTTACTGCTCTGCAGGTCTCTTCAGAGGAGAGAGGAGTCTGAGCCCATGTTTTGATATACTAGGTGCCAGGTGCTGATGCATCGTTAGATTGTTCCTGCCTCTAC